CAACCATGATCTACCACCGGAAGCAAACACCTACAAGAGATCAATGCTTGGTTTTAGGTACCCATCTTGTAATGGGTCCTTTGATGTTAGTAACAAGGGTCTTAGGAACCCAAATAGACCATTCAATGTGCTCATGAGGAGAACCAACAAATTTGGCATAAACATGCCCATCACTAGCTCGGCATAACACATAAGAAGGATTAAAATCGCCGGTTTTGTTGAGAGAGGGGACATTGCCCTTCTTGACTTTGTTCTTCTTCTTCTCCTCGGGGACACTCTCTCCCGCCCTCACAAAGGTTTGCATGAGGGGAGGAGGTCGTTTGGTCTTGTCATTCTTCTTCTTGTTCTTGGAGTCGAGGACATACCCAACCCCTTCCTTCGCCACACCTCCCTTTTGGTTGATCAAGAGATCGTTGAGGTTCTTCTTGTCTTGTATGCACGTCGCAAGACCTCTCTCAAGTTGCGCCTTCAACCTAGCATTTTCTTCAACAAGATGCATATGCTCACAACACGGGTTAGTAGTATTTGCATTATCAACCAAAACCATATGAGAAAAGTTGCTTTTTTCATAGTTAGCTTCACTTGGAGTTGATCATGAGACTCCTTGAGACTAGCGTGAGTACCCTTTAAGGCCTTGTGGGCCTTGTCAAGTATTTCAAACTCCTCCTTAAGTCTAGCAAGATCAACCCCAAGTTTGGCCTTCTCGAAATTTAGCACACGAGAGACAACGAGGGCATGATCATAATCTTTCTCTAACTTAGCATGATCAACGTTGTGTGACTCCTCAAGAGCCAAACGAAGACCACGCTCTTCCTCAAGAGCATTGGAAAGATCCGAAATCTCATCGGCATAGTCACGATTATGCCCTTTCATCTTCGAGATGGTGTCTTCATGAGCCTCGATCATGTCATTGGCCTCACCAAGTTGTTCCAAGAGAGCAACAAAGTGCTTCTTGGATTTTCCCTTGAGTTTGCCCATAAAGGCCTCAAACTCGTTAGCCTCCATATTAGCTTCCTCAACTTCATTAATGCTATCCGATGGGGAAGGATGATTAATGATGGTAGTTTTGATGTTGGAGGTTACCTTGTTGGTGGCTTTAGCCATGAGGCACTTGGCGTTGATGCTCTCATTGGGTGAGTCGAAGAGAGACACTCGTGACGTTGTTGCAATGGCGACGGAGGCCATGGCAACCGACTCATCATCTTCATCATCGTCATCATCCTCATTGTACTCTTCTTGCACAACCAAGGCCTTGGGAGGAGTCTTCTTGGTGAAGTTGTTCTTGTTGGGGAACGACTTGGCCTTGTCCTTTCGGATGAGTTTGCCACCATTGTCTTCCCTCTTCTCATACGGGCATTCCGCAACGAAATGACTCACGTTGCCGCAATTGTAGCAAGTCCTTACACGTTGCTTGCCCCTTGTCCCACTCGAGTTGTTTTTGCTAAAGTTGGGCCTCGAGTTTTTCTTGCTCCAAAATTGCCTTGAAGCAAGTGCCATGTGTTCATGATATGCATACTTTGTATCTTCGGGGTTGCTCTCCTCCTCTTTCTCTTCTTCTTCTTTCACGGTGAGCTTGGCCTTCAAAGCAAGGTTAGGCTTCTTTGCCCGTTGAGAACGGAGCACCGCATTGTCGGCGGTCTTGTCCAAAATATTCATGGCCACAAACTCATCCAATACCTCGCTTGAGGTCAAAGTGTGGAAGTCCGGTCTTTGGCGGATGACGGAGGACATGGCCTTGTGGTAGGGCATCATTGCCTTGAGGAATTTGCGCTTGATCCAATTGTCATCCGTGTCCTTGCTCCCGTGATCTCGTAGTGAGACCGCGAGTTTGGTGACTCTCCGATAAAGCTCACGAGGTTCTTCATCTTCCTTCATTGCAAACTCATCGGCCTCATCTTGTACCACTTCATAATTGGAGCGTTGAATGCTTGCGCTTCCCCGGTAGAGAGACACGACACAATGCCATGCATCTTTGGCCAAGGAGAAGGGATGAAGATGAGATAGGTCTTCGGGTGGAATTGCATCTTGAATGATGAAGAGAGCATTCTCATTGAATTGATTGTCCGCGGCTTCTCGAGGAGTGAAGTTGCTTGTATCATGTGGGTAGAAACCTTCTTCAATGATTCTCCAAAGGTTAGTGTTCACATGATTTAAATGACGTTTAAAGCGGTAAACCTAAGAATCAAAATCCTCATTTTTCACAATCTTAGGAGGAGGACCGGCATGATTCAAATGAGTAGAAGGAACCGGTCCACCATAAATAAGTGGTGGTTCCACATGGGCAAAGATGCCGGTGCCATTCTTGCCACTAGAAGAAGCAGCCTTTTCACTACTAGCTTCCCCCTTGTCGGGGATAGCATCCGACACCTTGTTGGCGGGATCCCCCACTTTCAACGGTGCGGTGGAGAGTTTAAGCCCCTCAAGAAATTTAGTAAACATGCTTTCAACTTCGGTCGTCATGGAGGTTTTCAATGTCTCCAAGGCTACATTGAACTCCTCACGAGAGACTGAAGTTCCCCCATCGCCCGTAGACGAGATAGGATTCACACCGGAGTGTTCCTCCGCTCCGTCTACGGTATCAACCATACTCTTTGGACGGTAAAGTCCTTAATAAAGAGACGAGGCTCTGATACCAATTGAAAGGATCGATATGGTTGACTAGAGGGGGGGGGTGAATAGGCAACTAACAATTTTTAGCTTTTCTTTAGCAATTTAAACTTTGCATCAAAATAGGTTGTCTAGATATGCAACTAGATGAGCAACCTATATGATGCAACACGAATAGGAACACAAGCAAGCAAGATATATGAAACAAATAAGTTACACAAGTAAAGGCACGAGATAACCAAAAGAGGAGACGGTGGAGACAAGGATGTGTTGCCGAAGTTCCTTCCCTTTGAGAGGAAGTACGTCTCCGTTGGAGCGGTGTGGAGGCACAATGCTCCCCAAGAAGCCACTAGGGCCACCGTAATCTCCTCACGCCCTCACACAATGCGAGATGCCGTGATTCCACTATTGGTGCCCTTGGAGGCGGCGACCGAACCTTTACAAACGAGGTTGGGGCAATCTCCACAACTCAATTGAAGGCTCCCAACGAGACCACGAAACTTCACCACAATGGACTATGGCTTCGCGGTGACCTCAACCGTCTAGGATGCTCAAACACCCAAGAGTAACAAGATCCGCAAGGGATTAGTGGGTGGAATCAAATATCTCTCGGTGGAAGTGTAGATCGGGGCCTTCTCAACCACTTCCGAGCAAATCAACAAGTTTGGTTGGCTAGGGAGTGAGATCGGGTGAAAATGGAGCTTGGAGCAGTAATAAAGCTTTAATGATGAAAGAGGTAAGTCAAAGGAATGGAAGAAGACACCCTTTTATAGTGGGGGGAACAATCCAACCGTTACCCCCCACTCAGCCCCGCAGAGAGCGGTACTACCGCGGAGGCAGGGCGGTACTACCGCTCATAAGCGGTACTACCGCTCCCCCTCAGCGGTACTGCCGCGCTAGAAGGAAGGGGCTGGGGCTGGGACCCAGAGCAGTACTACCGCGGAGGCAGGGCGGTACTACCGCTCACAAGCGGCACTACTGCCACTACTACCGCAGCTAGTACCGCAAAACCCGACACGAGAAAATGCGCCCTCGAGTCGAGGCGGTAGGAGCATGGAGCCGCAGCGGTACTGCGGCTGAGGCCATCAAGCGGTACTACCGCTCCGAGGAGCGGCACTACCGCTTACTGACGTACTACCGCAGTACTGCAGCTAGTGCCGTAAGGCCCAGACACGAGAAAGAGCGCACTAGGGTCGAGGCGGTAGGAGCACGGAGCCGCAGTGGTACTGCTGCTGAGGCCATCAAGCGGTACTACCGCTCCGAGGAGCGGTACTGCCGCTTAGTGAGCCTCAGCGGTACTACCGCTGTGGCCTGCGGTACTACCGCTGGGTCCAGGAAAAGACACACAGGGAAGAAAAGAGAAGCTCTAGTGAGGCGGAAAGAAACGGTGGGTGTGAGAAGGACGTGTACGTGTTGATTCCACCCAAACCATACCGAAGCAGATCCCCTCTTGATAGAACGGTGACTACTACGAAACTTAGTCCACCAACAAAGTCACGAAAGAAGCTACACCGTCTTGAGTAGAGCGCCGAGGGGAAATAATCGTTTCGTGCCGAAAGATGAATATTTGAAAGAACTCAAAGCACCCGATTAGTCCGCAAATGCATTGTCATCAATCACCAAAACACCGTAGGGATAAAAATGCCCTTACACTTGTGTCCAATGGCGTATACTTGAGGTCTCGTCTTATGTCCTCTTGGGGCTTGGAGAGTAGACGTAGTGTACATGGAGATGATCATAGGATGCTCCACATCATCCTCTTAGATCAACTTCAATACCAAATTGCTTCTGGCATATATCCTGAACTCCGAATCTGCAGAAAATGGGTAAAAGGCAAAAGTCTGGATTATTTTTGCCAGTTTCAGACGTTTTTTTTTTAACTCAGAAATTTCATGCCTGATAAAGGTTTTTTGTCTGGGATTCTGGCTCTAGTGTTACAAAATCTGGTTAGTTGCCCTGTTAAGTTCTGAAAAGTTTTATCAAATCCGGTGTCTACCAATTTAGCCATCATACACAATGCATATTAATGCTTGGCCTACAATACGCTCGCAGTTCCATGCACATGGGCAATTTCTTAGTAGTAGGAACAGACACGCCTGAACCAATCCTGTATAATCCAGTACTGATGGGTCGGGTTGGGTTTGTAACATGGTGGGAATGTTTAGGCGGAGATGGTCCTGGGCCCTTGTGACATGACACGTAGTCAAAGATGGTGCAGTGGCACTGCAAGGGCAGGACTTGAAAGGGGAAAGGGGTACATGGGATAACACTTTGCTTGTTTGATAATCAAATAGGGCCAGTCATTTAATAGCTAGCTTACATGCAAGGATGGGGAACACAAACAAGATAAGTATGTGTGAGGAAAATAACAAACCTGAAATATCTCTTAACAGATCCAGACTTCCTATTTGTAAAGAGTTTAGGGACTCTTATCCCTGTTTTGATGTGGCTGGCACTCTAGGGCCCACTTACCTCCCTATGGGGTTCTCTTACAGTGAGGTATGACCCCTGAATTCAGGGTTAGCATCCAACTGAAGAAGTGGTGGTTGGACTAGCTGCGGGTTGAGCCTGAGTAAACCGTAACTGTCAGACGCATTATGTTTTTAAGGCGGTAAGGCGATCTAAGGCGCTGGGGGGGGCGCCTTATCGCCTAGGCGACGCCTAAGCGCCTAAGGCGGACGCCTAAGCGCCTAAGGCGGGCATATTTGTAAGGTGCTGGCGGGGCGCCTTATCGCCTAAGCGTCGCCTAAGCGTCCAAGGCGGGACGCCTTAAAAACAGAGCGCATTACCATGCTTCCAAGAAATCCCTGTTCGACCATGACCCAATCAAAATATGCCAGAAGTGAGCAAAATATACCTTTTGAAGTTGACTTCCCTGTCGAGAAATTTAATCTGCATTGCGAAATTCTATAGAAATATCAAATTTTCTGGTCTTCTATTCAATAGGAAAAGCTCTAGAAACTGCATTTTGTGTAACAAAACTTCCATGGCATTGCAGGGTTTACCTTTGCCCTCTTCTTCAACCTTCAAAAGCCTTCTGCTCGTTATAAGCAATTTAGCAATGAAGGGGGGTATCTTCATAGGAGAGGTGCCACATTTTCCAGACTGGACGGCAGCAGCAGACATGGTTGATCAATTATTTACCACAGTACAAAATAACATCAATATACTTGTAAATTTCTTTATCTATAACAGTGTCATTGTCCTACGCTATGCAGGTCTCCGAACAAGACAGGCTAGAAAACCTTTTCTTTACCCAGGGTTTCCGGGTTAGCTTTGTTCTCTATGAAAATGTTGCAAAGGATTTCGGCTTAGATCTAGCTCCTCAAAGGGAACAATGTGGTAGAGTTCTTTTTGTTGCAGAACAGCTGCGGTTTTCAGATGCACAGGTAAGCCAATGGAAGACACTAAACTTCAATTTTGCCTTTGACAATTTTGGGAATTGGTATGAGCTGGAATAGTTTATAATGACATCATTTTTACATGAGGAACCTGTCCATCTCTTTTTCTCACATCTGGATCTTGTTCCTAACCTCCTGATTCCATTCTCTTGAGTGATTGGACAGCCAAAGGATTTGATATGTGTTGTTCAATGTTAGTTGCATCTATTGCTACACTTGAACATTTCTCTGCCAAATTGCATCTTAAGCCCTTCAACTGTTTTGGTAATTGAGCCCCCAGCGGCCATCCGATTTTCATCAACAAAGTCCTAAAAATGTATAGGACTAGACACTTCCAACTAAGATATCTGTTACTACATGGTGTGATGGTCATTAATGTAAGACAGTGTGAGTTCAGTTAAATTAAATATAATAAGGCGATTGACTAAATTGATCATATTAACGCCCTTGGGAGATTTCTGATATATCATTCTCGTAGAATCTTGAAAGCAAAGTATAAAGTTTATTAGTAGTTAATTGCATCTCTTAGTCTTATTTGAGTTGATAATCCACTATAACATATATCGGCAGCACCATATTGTTAATGGTGCAACCAAATAGACCCAGTTAGATAAACCAAATAGTGGATGGGACTTGAATAGATAGATTGAACCAAAAGAGAACAATTTTACGAATGATTGTGTCGTTGAGAGGCTAAAAAGACAGTATACTTCAAGCTGACCCCATTTTCCTTGTTTGCATGTGTTGACAGATGGAAAGCTTCTGGACGCATTTTGAAAGAACAGAGGAGGACGCTGATGAAGAAGGATTCGAGGAACTTTAGTTCCGTATTGGATGCACTTGAGGGTTGAGAATGGTTTTGACTTGCCGGGAAACGTGCAGAGCACAAAGTAATCATGGATTTTCAGTTATGTGTTGTTGGTTACAGATAACTCATTTTCAACTCTGGTACCTTTTGAAAGATCGGGTACTTTCCAAGACTTTCATGTTGTATGACTGTTTTCAGTTGTGTCGTCTAGAGGAATTTCGTTATGGAAATACTCCCTTCGTAACTTAATATAAAACGTTTTTTGACATTGTCATAGTGTAAAAAAAAGTATTATTATATTAAATTACAGAGGTAGTATGTGGCGAACGGACGCAGCTTCGGTGCCTTAAAGCACCTGCCTTTGGGTCACTGACGTATAGGCCCACATGTCATAGACACAAAGGTAGGTACCGTAAGGCACCGAAGCATCGTCCGTGGCGAACACATGAATCCTACGACTCCGTTGTTGATTGTAAATTTGTGTGTGTTCGTGTGTATGTTTTTCCATCTACTTTTTTAGAGGAAAGGCTAAGGCCTGATTTTAAATTAATAAACCACAAAGCATCACAGACAAGGTTTCAAACAAACACATCAATCCCGGTGCAGATGTACATAGGGATAGGGTGTGCGCGTGTATATAAGCGCTTGCGTCTGTACTATGTTTAAAAAAAAAGAACTGCCACCGATAAGATAAGACACGCAGGCCAGACAGAAACCAAGTTGACGACAAGAGCCCCAACAAAGAGTTCGCCATAGCCCGCACGCAAGAGATCAAAACCTCCACAGCCGCCTTGTCGTTGTTTTAGTCAAAGATTTCCATTGCTGTATGAGAATAAACACTTTGAAAATACAGTCGACAACCTTGTTAGGGAACACAAGTTTAATACTAAACGTATTCTTGGTAGTCCATAGAGTCTAGCACATAGCTGAGAATCCGAACAAAAAAAGCCTCATAATCTGGCCCACAAGCGGGGACACCAGGGTTCTAATCTCATCAAAGCTATTCGGGGTCCAAGTCATCCCTATCCATTCCATAAGGCAGCTCCAGAAAAGCTTAGCCAAAGGGCAACGATAGAGGATGTGTTCAGTATTCTCAGCAAGGCTACAAAGCACACAAAATTCGGAATCAGGACCATTCTTATTCTTCATTTAATCTGCAGCAGGCAATTGGCCACGGATTGTCTGCCACATAAAAATCTTCATTTTCATAGAAATGAGTGCCTTCCAAACTCCATTGAAGCGAGAAACCACCGGACCCATCAAAAGCTTACGATAGCAAGACTTAACAGAAAAATAACCAGACGGCGAGTGTGGCCAAAAGACAACTCTTGATAACCCACAAGTATAGGGAATCGCAACAGTTTTTGATAAGTAAGAGTGTCGAACCCAACGAGGAGCTAAAGGTAGAACAAATATTCCCTCAAGTTCTATCGACCACCGATACAACTCTACGCACGCTTGACGTTTGCTTTATCTAGAACAAGTATGAAACTAGAAGTACTTTGTAGGTGTTGTTGGATAGGTTTACAAGATAATAAAGAGTATGTAAATAAAAAGTAGGGGCTATTTAGATAAAGAAACAATAAAGTAAATATAGCGAGTGTGGAAAAGTGGTGGTAGGAGTTGCGGAATTGCCCCTAAGAAATTGACTACTTTACTAGACCGATAGCAAGTATTATGTGGGAGAGGCCACTGCTAGCATGTCATCCCTGACTTGGAATTCTATGCACTTATGATTGGAACTATTAGCAAGCATCCGCAACTACTAATGTTTATTAAGGTAAAACCCAACCATAGCATTAAGATATATTGGTCCCCCTTCAATCCGGTATGCATCAATTTCTATGCTAGGTTGAAGCTTCTGTCACTCTTGCCCTCCAATACATAGTCCTATCAACATACAACTAACCCTAGGATGTGATCCACGCGCGCAATCATATGATGGGCACCAAAGGACAGCAACATAACCACAAGCAAATTAAATCAATCATAGCAATTCATCAACCACCGATAGGACAACGAAAATCTACTCAGACATCATAGGATGGCAACACATCATTGGATAATAATATGAAGCATAAAGCACCATGTTCAAGTAGAGGGTACAGCGGTTTGCGGGAGAGTGGACCGCTGTAGATAGAGGGGGAAGGTGATGGAGATGTTGGTGAAGATGACGGAGGTGTTGGTGTAGATCGCGGTGATGATGATGATGGCCACGGTAGCGTTCCAACGCCACCGGAAGAGAAGGCGAGAGGGGGCCCCTTCGTCTTCTTCTTCCTTGACCTCCTCCCTAGATGGGAGAAGGGTTTCCCCTCTAGTCCTTGGCCTCCATGGCATGGGAGGGGCGAGAGCCCCTTCGAGATTGGATCTGTCTCTCTATCTCTCTCTGTTTCTGCGTTCTCAGATTCTTCCCTTTCACTGTTTCTTATATTCCCGGAGATCCGTAACTCCGGTTGGGCTGAAATTTTAACACGATCTCTATCCGGATATTAGCTTTCTTGCGGCGAAAGAAGGGCACCAACCGCCTTACGGGGTGGCCACGAGGGTCAGGGGCGCGCCTGACACCCTGGGGCGCGCCCCCCTACCTCGTGGACCCCTCGAGCATCGTCTCGCGTGGATTCTTCTTCCCCAAAATCATATATATTCCAAAAAAATCTCCGTCAGTTTTTATTCCGTTTGGACTCCGTTTGATATGGATATTCTGCGAAACAAAAAACATGCAACAAACAGGAACTGGCACTGGGCACTGGATCAATATGTTAGTCCCAAAAATAGTATAAAAAGTTGCCAAAAGTATATGAAAGTTGAATAATATTGGCATGGAACAATCAAAAATTATAGATACGATGGAGACGTATCAGCATCCCCAAGCTTAATTCCTGCTCATCCTCGAGTAGGTAAATGATAAAAAAGATAACTTTTGATGTGGAATGCTATCTAGCATAATCTTGATCACATATCTAATCATGGCATGAATATTAAGACACGAGTGATTCAAAGCAATAGTCTATCCTTTGACATAAAAACAATAATACTTCAAGCATACCAACCAAGCAATTATGTCTTATTGAAATAACATAGCCAAAGAAAGCTCATCCCTACAAAATCATACAGTCTGGCTATGCTCCATCTTCACCACACAAAATATTTACATCATGCACAACCCCGATGACAAGCCAAGCAATTGTTTCATACTTTTGACGTTCTCAAACCTTTTCAACTTTCACGCAATACATGAGCGTGAGCCATGGACATAGCACTATAGGTGGAATAGAATGGTGGTTGTGGAGAAGACAAAAAAGAGAAGATAGTCTCACATCAACTAGGCGTATCAATGGGCTATGGAGATGCCCATCAATAGATATCAATGTGAGTGAGTAGGGATTGCCATGCAACGGATGCACTAGAGCTATAAGTGTATGAAAGCTCCAACTGAAACTAAGTGGGTGTGCATCCAACTTGCTTGCTCATGAAGACCTTAGGCATTTGAGGAAGTCCATCATCGGAATATACAAGCCAAGTTCTATAATGAAAATTTCCACTAGTATATGAAAGTGATAACTCAAGAGACTCTCTATATGAAGAACATGGTGCTACTTTGAATCACAAGTGTGGAAAAGGATAGTAGCACTGCCCCTTCTCTCTTTTTCTCTCTTTTTTTGTTTTTTTATTTTTTTGGTGGGCTCCTTTGGCCTCTTTTTTTATTTGGGCTTCTTTGGCCTCTTTTATTTTTTTGTAAAGTCCGGATTCTCATCCCGACTTGTGGGGGAATCATAGTCTCCATCATCCTTTCCTCACTGGGGCAATGCTCTAATAATGATGATCATCACACTTTTATTTACTTACAACTCAATATTACAACTCGATATCTAGAACAAAGATATGACTCTATATGAATGCCTCCGGCGGTGTATCGGGATGTGCAATGATCTAGCGTAGCAATGACATAAAAAAACGGACAAGCCATGAAAACATCATGCTAGCTATCTTACGATCATGCTAAGCAATATGACAATAAATGCTCAAGTCATGTATATGATGATGATGGAAGTTGCATGGCAATATATCTCGGAATGGCTATGAAAATGCCATAATAGGTAGGTATGGTGGCTGTTTTGAGGAAGATATAAGGAGGTTTATGTGTGATAGAGCGTATCCTATCACGGGGTTTGGATGCACCGGCAAAGTTTGCACCAACTCTCGAGGTGAGAAAGGATAATGCATGGTACCGAAGAGATTAGCAATGATGAAAGGGTGAGAGTGCGTATAATCCATGGACTCAACATTAGTCATAAAGAACTCACATACTTATTGCAAAAATCTATTAGTCATCGAAACAAAGTACTACGCGCATGCTACTAGGGGGATAGATTGGTAGGAAAATACCATCGCTCGTCCCTGACCGCCACTCATAAGGAAGACAATCAATAAACACCTCATGCTCCGACTTCGTTACATAACGGTTCACCATACGTGCATGCTATGGGACTTGCAAACCTCAACACAAGTATTTCTCAATTTCACAATTACTCGACTAGCATGACTCTAATATCACCATCTTTATATCGCAAAACTATTGCAAGGAATCAAACATATCATATTCAGCGATCTACAAGTTTATGTAGGATTTTATGACTAACCATGTGAATGACCAGTTCCTATCATCTCTCTAAATAGATAAGTGAAGCAAGAGAGTTTTAATTCTTTCTACAAAAGATATGCCCGTGCTCTAACAAATATAAGTGAAGCAAAAGAGCATTCTACAAATGGCGGTTGTCTAAGTGAAGAGAAACAGGCAATCCAAACTTCAAATGATATAAGTGAAGCATATGAAGCATTCTATAAAGCCATACTCAAAAGATATAAGTGAAGTGCATAGAGCATTCTATAAATCAACCAAGGACTATCTCATACCAGCATGGTGCATAAAAATAAGAATAAAAACCTAAATGCAAAAGACGCTCCACGACTTGCACATATCGCATGAACGAAACGAATCCGAAAACATACCGATA